GTTTGGATTTTTGTACTAAAGGGATCTTATGGTGCTTTGCAAATTCTTCGTCTAAGAAACAAGCAGATGCTTCTAAATCTAATAATGTTACGGTTCTCAATTTTTGAAGGCCAATAAACAAAGGAATTGTAAAACAAAGGGCATGTTGAACGGAAAGAAAGGAATCTGGTTGTTGTTGCAATATTTCACTGTAGAGCCGCACGGTTCCTATTGTGGCTGGGCATCCTCATTTTCCTAAACAAAATTGCCCATGGTCTTGACAATGCGTCGATTTTGCTTCTTGGGATAGTTTCCAACTTTGTGGCCTTCTTCACCGCAATATAAGCATAGACCTTCCTCCATACGTCGCTTTTTTTCTTCTAGAGTAAGGGATTTGACATGTATCCCATCAATTTGCATGTCTTCTATCTCTGAACGTGAATTCACGCTGCTTGCTGACATAGTTGGGACGTGGCAAATCGTATGTTGTCTTGAGCGTTGGTCTTGGCGACGTTAGAATAGGCTGTTATCGCACTTCATAGCTTGGCTAATAGCTTTGTTGAGCATTTGCGGATCATGAAGAGTTAACAGCAAATCCTTCACATCATCTCTTAAACTCCAATAGAATTGACTCATCAATGCTTCTTTGTCCCAATTGATGTCGCATGTTAATTACCTAAAATTCGATGCATAGACTGATGTAAAGCGCATCCCTTGTCGTAGTGATTGGATCTTTGTTGTAGCCCATCGAACTTTGTCATGTTCACCAAATGCTTTCGCAAACGCCTCCAAAAAGGTTTCAAAGTTGTTTAGTATGGATGATTGTTTTTCCAACAAAAGAGCAAACTATGATAGAGCTTGCCTTGTAAGTAAGGTTCCAATAAGCCCAACACGTGACTCCTCCGTTGGATAGCATTTGGGCTATAAAACTATTATCAATCTGATTTGATTGACGAATCTTCAAAACTTGGAATGTGTACCATCGAACTTGTCTTGAAGGCTAACTCGGGGCTCTTTATGTTGTAGAACCAGCGGTGCTTGTCGAACCTGAGGCAAAGTTGCTTCTCCAAGTGCAGAAGTTTGAGGCTGGTACAACCTAGATTGTGCCATCCCAGATGCTCCATCATTATGAAGCCTTGCCACAACTCCTTCAATCTCTGCAGTTCTTTGCGATAACGTAGCAAGGGTATTGATGATAGCATCCAACTTAGACTCCGAAATTTCTATCATACTAATGTCTTGGCCTCCGGCCATTCTAAGAGAAGGACAGAAATGACTCTACAAGAAGATAATATTGGTTTAGAGGAAGATACTCCACAACCTCTAAAATGCCTTAAAAGCTTCAATAAAAGGGATAATCCACTCTCTCCAAGAAGAATAAGATTCCAATATTGTAACAAAAAAAGTATCAGTTTAGAGGAGGGTAATCCGCAACCTCTAAAATGCTAGTACACCTTCAAGCAGAGGGATAATCCACACTTTAACGAGGAAGAAACTAACTCTGATATCTAAGGTGAGTTTAGTCTCGACAAACTGTCATGGACACAAAAATACAAGCTTGAGATCTAACAAGAAGTTCAAGAAGAATTGGCAAGAACTAGATTAATCAGATGAATATAAGAACAACACCGGAGAGGTGAGCTAGAGCTCCAAGAGATGTGTTGTCAAGACTGAATAACTCTTCAGCCTCGATTCCAATACATACTCCTATTTAGGAAGCTTCTCAAGCAACTTCTACCAACTAAGAAGCTTCTAGAAGGTTCCAGATACTTGCTTCTAGAAGGTTCTAGAAACTTATCTCTAGAAGGTTCTAAGGACTATGTCCCTAACATCCTTTACCAACTAAGAAGCTTTTCAAGCAACTTCCATCAACTAAGAAGCTTTTAGAAGGTTTCAAAGACTTGTTTTTAGAAGGTTCTAGAAACTTATCTCTAGAAGGTTCTAAAGACTATGTCCCTAACACATGGGCAAGTCTTGCCGTCATATAATCCATTGTAAGCTCTTTTAGCTTGATGGAATCGAATGCCACAATAAGGTAGTTATAGGATTTGGGAAGGCTCATTAGCAAGGTCATGACAATATCACTTTCTTCTAAAGACTTGTCAACAATTGCTAGTTAATTTACAAGAGCCTTTACCTTATTGACATGAGCCATGAGGTCTTCACCTTCTTCCATCTTGCAAGTGAAGAACTTCTTTCTTGTATAGATGATGTTGGATAAGTTTTTGCTCTCATAGATGTTGCAAAGAGTCTTCCATACTTCCGTTGGTCCTTTGCAAGAGATAATGTGGGAGAAGTTGGTTTCATCCACATTGGTTGCAATCAATCCAAAAGCCTTCTTTTCATGATGTTTGAACTCCTTCTTCTCCTTTATATCAGCATCTTTGCTTGGAGCCTCTTCACTTTCATCTACAATATCCCAAAGATCTAAAGACTCCAACAAAAGCTCCATTTTTTCCTTCCAATGGTAGAAATTGTCACCTCTAAATTTCTCAATAACTCTCAATCCTTCATCCTCACTTGAAGCCATGTCTAAAGAAGAATTGTATCAAAAAAGATTGTAAGAAGAAGTCCTAATGCTCTCAAAAATCTGCAAGAAGGTTTTTCTTGCCTTAGAATCACAAAATCCTTCTTTGTGAACAAACTACTGTTTTAACTCTCAAGAACTCTCTCAACTTCACTTTTAAAACTTGTCACAAGTCTGATGACTTATCTAAGTATCTCAAATCTGATTTGCCATTCTAATATCTTTCTTATACTCACAAATCACCTCTATACACCATAAGAGGCCTTTTAAATACAATCAACAACTTTGTCTATAGGTGAAAAACAAGACACTAACACCAAAATGCTCTTAACCACAAATAAGAGCAAATCATGATCTAGATCTAAATCTGAATCTGAAAGTTAGGTTCTTCCAAAGCCTAACATCAGCAACAACAACTTGATCTACTCCACACTTACAAAACCACTTCAAAAAACTTCAAAGAACACTTAAGCAAATGTGAATGGACCCATAACCTATTGAAGAAAAGAAGTCTAAAAGCTACAAACACTTAGCATCAACAAGGATTGTAGTCTAAGAGAAGTGTGGAGAAAGATGATTCTTACTTCCAACACTCTTTACTTATAGGTGGTGGTTTACTCACCAACGAGGCAACTTCCATCCTTTTGATATTACATCCATTTCTACCTCATCCAACTAAATCCTTGATGCCACCACAATAACTTACTTTAACTCTTTGCTGCCTTTTTACTATTAGCAACATACTATGCTTAATCTCTATGTGGTTGTAACTAAGCAATTACTTGCTGAACTTCAACAAACTGGGTGGAGACTCCCCAGACGACAAAGCGCACAACGATGCGTTGTCGTGTTGTAACACGAGTATACAGTGAAAAAAAAAAAAAAAAAAAAAAAAAAATTATTAATATTCAGTTACCTCGAATATTGGGAGCATCGACCAACTCCAGCGCAAATACTGAGTGGTCAAGTTCAGTCACCCCGTTACAGTCAGCCGGGGCATACTGAAATGCTCCGTTCGATTCTAATAACGGGAGTTAGCAGGATGAGAAGGACCAATTCACACGACGGGTTTGAAGAGCCAATTGGATCCAATTTCGAGAATCCAATCCGGGTCCTCTTACCCAATATGAGACCTGTATTGGTGGGGCAACCCAATGCAGTCTAGTTACGGAAAAATCCAGGTCTTACTACGGGCCTCAGCCAGTCTGACGCGAAGACCAATTTGACCCAATTACGCGAGCATCCAGGTTACTACGGACATCTTACCCAATATGGGACCTGAATTGGTCGGGCGACTCAATGTGGTCCCGATTACGGGGTTTCGATTCTGTTTCGGGCTGTCCTGTTCTCTGTGCCGTTTCAGGGAACGTTGTTTACGGTAAATGGATCTCTTAAAGGTAAAAACGGAGGAGAAGGCCTTGATGACGTGAGCCAATTTCAGATCTAAGCTCTGACGGCGGGAGCCAATTCCGGATCTAAGATGGAAGATTGAAGAAGTTGAGAGGATAAGGTTAGGGGAGAATATAGTTTTAGGGAGGGGAGGTTTTTTTTTTTTTTTTTTTTTTCTTTCAGGGAATCGGGGGAGGAGCTAGTTTTCAAGCTTTTGCAAGGTTACCAATTCGGTTTCATTGGAGGTTTTTGAAGATCAAGGGAATTAGAGAGAGGAGCTTCATGCTTCGGGTCGGGGAAGGAAAGACATAGAATTTGGATTTTTCTTCTTCGTAGAGTTTTGGGAAGACTGAGGCAATCGCTGCTGAAGTCAGTGTTGTAATGGTGAATCGAGATTTTTTAAATGAAGTGGGTTTGAATACTCTTGACTGTTTTGTAAAATCGAGTTACGTCTGTGATTGAAGGATTAAAGGGGTGTCTATAGGATTGAGTATGCGGAGTGAATGAAATTTATTGGGTTAATCTAACAGGACAGTCAGTGGATACAAGATCGTAAGTACAAAGGGGTATTGAAGATTAACAGTTTGGGTTGTTCGGGGTTCTCTGTAACGTCTAGAGACCTATCGGCTGGGAAAAAAAAAGGACTTCGACAAGCAGTCGAAGAGCATCCGTATAGATTTACGGTACATTGTTGCAGTCGTTTATATTCCAGCAGTCAAAAACTGATAGACTGCTTGACTATCGGCGAATCTCCATACTACCTTCTACAGCCAGACGCCCGGCGCGTTCTCGAGCAGGAAAGCACGTAATACGACAGCGTTTTGTCAATTTAGGTCAAAGACGAATGTCCATTCCATGCCCAAAATGAACGATATCCCTCGTCCGTCTTTAGATCCACATCCGTCCTGAGATTGGCACTCATCCGTCGCCCCCTCCTGAAACGACCCGTCCAAAATTCGACGATACGTCTCACTTCCGACGACAGACTGAATAATCGTCCAGTTCACGATGCTTCCGTTCGGAACCCGTCGCTTGCTTCTTCGTGTCGGTAAATGAACAAAGCGCAAGGCGCTACCGACGCGGCTAGGGCAGAGGAGGGAGAGGTGTCCAGGTGGTGAATTTCCGAGATGAACGCTCTCAGCGTCGCTCATGACCGCGTCAGAAATCGGCGTGTCAACTCGTTTTAACCCGTTTCGGAAACTTTCAAAGCAAAGTTGGTGGTTATCTTCGAAGACACCGTGCCTACATAATCCAGACAGTCCACGGAGCAGTGTCATAGATCGGCAGGGTTGAGTAAGTTGTCTGCGGTTTCGAACTCTTCGAAGAATCTCATCCTCGACGGTATTCTGACAATTGTCAACGCTGGGTGTTGAGTATTGTTGTGAAGTGCAATTGTGTGTTGGGCCGAAGGAGACATGTGTGTGGGGAAGTGCAATTTGGAGTTGCGCCGAGGAGGGGTCCGGGAGAAGAATGGCTTGGATAGGAATTGGGTTTCTTATGGAAGCCTCTGTTTGAGCCATGCTCTACGCGTGAAGCGGTAAGTGTGCAGGTGCAGGGATCTGGTATTAGAAGCGGGAGAATGGAATCATATCCTGACAAGAAGTAGAGGAGACTGGGGAGGCGATAGTTTGGCTGCATTTGTGTGTGACGTGGTCACAAGGATGAGAGGTGAACTGAAATTTGGCTGGCTAGGCTAGCATCCTCAATCGTAGAAATCAGTAAGACATGCTTCGAAATGATGGCATGACGCGCGGTGGTGAATGCAGCTGCGGTTGAAGTTGAAAGGACAGACAGAAATCTTCATGAGATAATCTTTACACTTTGATGGGTGGAGGCGTGTCGCGGTTAAGGAGATTTGAGTGCGAAGTAGCTCCGGAAATTTGGTGAGAATACTGTCATCGGGGAAAGGATTTATCGATGTCCAAGGATTTTAGCTCTCAGATTGAGGTTTGCTCCTGCACTACGAAGTGACGTAGGAGTTGAGTTTTGATGGAAATTGGGGTGCTTGCTATTTGGAGCTGAAATGGAATTTGACTGCTGCTCAAGTTTGTTTCGCTCACGTAAAGGGTGAATGTTTGGATGCGTGGAGATTAAGGGCTTATGTTGAGGTTGATGGAAGGTAGACAGGGACCGCTTAAAAGCTGGAAGATTAACGGTGGGAACTTGTGTCCTTGGCCGAAATGTTCAAGACGAAGACAAAGACAAAGAATAGCAGGGGTTTTTTCATAGCTTTTTGCTGAAGAATAATCTCGTACTGAAGACTATGAAGAGCTAGATGCCTTAACCGAAGACACTAATAGACCTCCCCCTGTGGTCCTTCCACGCCGCAGTACAACCTGCAGTTAACGAGGTAAGACTCCGATGTGAAGTCTTATGCTACGTGCTTGTTACATGCGTTGTTTGGTCGAAACCTGTGCTCCAATTTCCTCGTAATCTGTAGAAGATAATTATTTGTCTTCAGCAAAGAAAGTCTTGTAGTCTTGATCCTTTTAGAAGTTACCTTTTTATTCTTTATTTGTATGGGGTTTTGTGGTTGACCACATCTGCGCTTGTAATGGCGTGGGCGACTTGGTGCAACAGCAATTAGGGTGTGAACAAGTGGCTGTTCTATGTGAGCTTAAACCTGCGCGTGTTGGGTTTACAGAGAAGATTGCCCAATTTCACCCGTGGCGAAAATACTTGAACTCATAAGATGGCTTGCGAACTAGAAATAGACGAACTTGAAGTGGAGTACCGCACATGGGCCGGGGACAAGGAGAGTGTGCTCAGTGAATTGTCCATTCGCCTAGAGAAAGCTTCAGATACGGACCTCACTTTGCTGATAAAGGGAGAAAAGCTTCAGATTCTTATTCCATCCACATACCGCAACCTGGATTCTTCGACGTCGACTGATCATGAATCTAGCGAAGTCTTCCTGCTGTGGACGGAAAAGATCACAAGCAAAGAGGTGAAGAAATCTATGTCGGCTCTGACAGAAAAGCTGGAGAAAGTTCGCGTCAAGCCAAAGGCGCTGCATCAAGTGTTGGACTTGCTTCTTGCAGGAATGCAAAAGCTGCAAGTGATGCGTGAATCAATGAACGAGAGTTCTGAGGAATTCAAGCATGAGAAGACCAGAGAGAGGGCCAATTCAGATGAGGAGGAAAATGATGACAAGAGTTACAATTGGCACTCGGAGGATGATTCTAAAGATGACGATGGCGACATCGGAGCATCGTATTACGACATAGCCACCAGCGATCCCTCGACAGTTTGGGCCACTATGCATGAAATCTGGGAACAGGGGTTCTTGTACGCCTTCTCTGAGGATGCGAGAAAGCAATGCGAAGCATGTAAAGCTCAAACACTGGGCGATCTTCAGAATCCATTGATGTGGCTCAGTGTGGTGTCTAAACCGAAGGTATTGGTGGTCGAGTTGCAGTTTGATTTGGTGGGGATAATCGATGACAGGGTTGCAGCAGGCTTGGGTCTGTCGATAAACGAGCACGTCTCGTTGAGCCTTGAGTTTTCCAAAAACACATGGTCGGAAACAACCTTACAGTGGACTGAGTTCGAATGTCAGAACATAACCGTCAGTCAGGATAGTAAACTCATCGAAGCCCGCGACACCGAACGAGATGAAATTGATAGATACTTGGAGTCAAGTTTCGGAGCTGGCCACCGAAGCTATGGTCTTGACGTGCTGTTTCCGGATCTCACACGTAAGTTCTTCGCTGCCCTAAATCATCACGGATCAGCACAAACAGGGAATTATCAGTACATGGAGGGCATCGATGAGAATCTGAACAACAAGAATCCTTTCCTGGGGCTTGCCCTGGCCATTTCCCACCAACTGAAGCGACTGCCTCAGTGCTGCATCATCTGCTGGAGGGAGCACCCGTTCTCCGTTACACGCATGCGCACTTGTGACTCAGATCTCTGTTTGCACCTCTTTGAGGAGCTGGGCTTGGGAGTGTCGGTGCTTGGCGAAGTGAAAAGCTCTCCGGAGCTTGTGGAAATGGAGATGGCATTCGCTGCTGCGGCACTGAGGTCGAAGCGGGACGTCTTTGAGCCCTTCCCTGCTTTCTCGTTACAAAAAGATGAGCTCAGATTACGAAGTGGCTGGTTCAGCAACAACAATATGAGTGAAACTGCGTCGAGGTCGAAGAATCGTATAAAAACTGCTTACCAAATGCCAATTTTAGGTGCCGTGGAAGATGAGAAATCTGCCGTGCAGAGTAATAAGAATACTAAGCAGCTGAGTGAGGCATTGGCAAGCATCCCCCCCATAAATGTGCTTCAAAAGTGTGCCGATGAGAGATCGCTGAAGAGGGTTTTGGCTCGCGCTTGGTATTCGCACTATCACGAGGGAGTGGAGAGAGCACCTCACGAAGGCTCAGTCCCACCACGGACCTCGCATGGTGCACACACAGACGCGGCACCGACACCCTTGCTCTCTCCTTTAATGAAGAAATCGCGATCGCCCAGATTTGAGACAGAGAAGATGGAGCCATGGAGGAAGGTGGCTAATCTGGCTTACGACTTGATGCGATTCATCCTCACGACTAACCGGGGGTCAATCTGTCAGGTCTTTGGCGAAGACGAGGTTCTCAAGGTGGAGAGGTCGCCGAAAAGTAAAGATGCTCCTGGAGAGAGCGGCATTTATCAGTTCGTTGTGCTTCACGACTCGCCCGAGAGAGCAGCTGATTTTGATCATCGGCGCAGGGATGCGGGAGGGTCTTACTTTGCATTCCACGGTAGCTCTGGGGAGAATTGGTACTCCATTCTCCGAAACGGACTTCGGAGTATGAGCTATACCCCGTTCATGTCCTGTGGAGCTGCTCATGGGGCAGGCATCTACCTGGCCAGCGATCTTAGCACCTCCATGAAATATGCGAAGTATCCGTCTTATTCTTGGAGACACGGCATGCTTAAGCACGGGTTTCAGTGCGTTGCGATCTGTGAGGTTGTGAAAGGCAGCATCTCGCGACAGAAAATCATATCTACACAATTCACGCGCGAGGCCAATGTTTTTGTTGTTTCACGTGAATGCGATGTGGCGATCAGATACCTCTTGGTGTTCAAGTCGCCCGCTACTTCATACGTGGAAGGCGTTTCAAGTTTCAGGACCAACGGAAGTATGTTGAATGAAAATTTAAACCTTTATGCCCATTATGAGCGCCTTCTAAAGTATAACAAAGATGCAGTGGTCTCGCAACAGCACACCCGGATGTTGGCCCGCTGTAAAACCCTGAGCGTCGTTGTCGCTGAGTGTGAAGGTCACAATCCTGACTCGGCAACCCCGCCTCCACCTCCATCCTCCTCCTCGAGCAGCGCTGATCGGCATCCAAAACGGGTACGATTAGCAAAGGGATTTGACGCAGCAGAAACCACCGATACGCCGCCTCTCGAATCGAAGATAGTGAAGAGTGAGCCCACCCTGCTGCTCACAGAGACAACTGCCTCTAGCGAGTTTTTATACCAAAATTACTTTTCAGAGCCTCTTCACAGTTATTCACCCCGAGCACTTACATAGGAAGTTGAAGCGAGCGGGCAGCAGCTTGCCTGAGAGCTAACATCAGATTCGAACAGAAGGTTGAGAAACGAGTCGCGAGCTTGGGTTCCGCTTCAAAGCCTAGTTCTCTGCACACGTTGTCCACTTTGAAATCAACTACCATTAGCTCATTTATATATACTAAACTGTGCTAGGGTAAGAAATACAACTCTTGTCAATAGCTAACATGCTGTAATTTGTGGAGCAGTTGGGTATTCATTAGGGAGAGGGTGAAAAGATTATAAAAAAAACAAAAATCGTCTCCATGTACAGAATTATTCATCTAGTTATGATGTTATTTCAGCATTGAATTTACAGAATTGATGCAGGGCAGGATTTTATTCCCCGAGCACCATATCGATTTCACTTGCAAATATCGGTGTCAAATACAATCGTGGAGAGGGGATGCAGATCCCCATCTGTGCCCATTTCCGACCTAAGAGCATGGTTGCTCTTTATGTTTTGAAAGTGGAATTGAAATCTCTATCCGGTTGTATTCTCAGACAGTATTCTACAACTTGGGGGCATCAGTTAACCCCGAGGCTCGCCGAGCGTTCTACTAATAGCATACGTTGAGAGAAAATTGCGGCGTCATTAGCAGGTCAGAAGGTTGCACTTGAAATACGTGTGAGGCCTGCCTTAGGTTGTCTCTGAGCAGCAATCAGAAGGAACTTTCCAAACGAGTTGATACTTTCCAAATTGTCCGCTTCATCATCACTGAAGATCTCATGCTCTTCGGCAATCTCGTGCAAGTGCCCTACCGTTATAAGATCTTTGAGCCACGGATCCGTGAATCCCGAATGACTCATTCCGCAAGACGAAGACGACGATGTGCACAGCTCCATTTGCTTCTGTTTCTTTGGCCTTGGCTTGGCTGCATCCGGCTGACAACATACAACAGACAATTAGGTCATTACGGAGGGGTAACGCACTGTTATGGCTTAATCAACTATGAAACTCGATGAAATACGGCTCATGCATAATCGTAGGATGTGCTGAACAAGGTAAGCACCTGTAACCACGACAGCACAGAGCTCCGTATGGTAGTCTTCGAGCCAGTCTTCGCTTGCTTTCTCCAGTGCGGCGACAATTTATCGTCATTCGCGTCTTTGCGACTCCAATCGGAAGAAGGGAATCGCGTTAGCCTCTTACTGGAGCCCTTCCCTTTACGAACCTCCTTAGATCGGCTCGGAAACACTCGGTTCCTCGACATCATGGGGCTTATGAGCACCTTTACCCACTTGTGGCTGCTTTGCCACTTTGGGCTGAAGCAACCCTGTCCTGTCATCTTGTTCTGCAAGCTTCCGGCACCGCCATAGCCATCGCCGTCGCAGTTTTGCACGGCTTCGATATTAGCGATGTAGTCAAGGTCGTCCGAGTAGAGATCATCGGCCAGACATTCTCGAATAACGCGAAGAGCTGTTTCTTCCGCACTCCCGTTCTCTAGTGGCATTGACCGAGACCGCATTTTGTGTTCCTTCAAGATCGTTACTCGAGGGTTGGACTGAATTTGCACGCGCCGGGCAGTTCCACAATCCATGATCACGTCAATAATAGGCTTGGGCTCCGCGGAATCGAAGCTCCGGCTCATTGGCCTCCGAGAATGGAGCTCCATGTCAGAATTCCTGCGTCGACCAGCATGAAACTCAGTCCATTCAACCATGACAGAGTTTTTCGAGGAATTCTAAATGCAGATTTGGAGATCCGGCGTTTCTGAAAGTCCCGTCGGGGTCGCTCTTGCTACGATCCACGGTGTCAAATTCCAAAGGCATGAATAACGCCGGACTTAAACCGTTACCATCCCCATGACTACCATTGATGCCGTCGGTAAAAATCTGTGATAAAACCCTTGCCTCTCCATTTAGTTGAAATTCGTCCTCTGCACTCCCCAAAGAGCAGTCAGCTTCCTGTACTGCTAACGCGTGCGGATCAGCTCTGTTAATTCCGAAACGAAGCGACTCTGAGGCAGCTACACACGGCGTCGGATTCTTTCCCACTAAAACTAAAGTTCGTCCCTCTCCACAGCGCTGCGGGTCTCTCCTCTACGCAGCTGGAGCAAACACCACCACCGAGTTGTGATTCCGAGAGACGTCGTTCGCACTTCCGCATCGACACCTACTCCTCTCAATCACGACGTCGGCGCCACCTTCGATGACGACCAAGGAAAGCTCGCAAGTATCTTGAGCGGGCCGATCAACTCATGGAAAGAAAGAATTTAAAAAAATAAAAATAATTAAAAAAATAAAAAACGGTAAAAACAAGAACGAAAAACGAATAAAAACGCCTCTCACTGTCGACTCACTCCAAGGTAGTAACAGCACTCATGCAGATCAAGACTCTTGTCACACTTCAAATGCTCCATCGATCCACGGCATGAGTCCAACACAAAGACATCGCAACTGATATTGCGAGACCAACCAGCGACCCTACCGTAATGTCCTCCCATGCCCGTCAACAAGCGACGACCACAATCGTATGCCTCGACAGTAAGTTCTACACTAGAGGTCCAGAGCAGGCTTTCCCACAGGAAGGAACAACTCGTAGCTGGAGCATTCCCGTCACAGATAGCCACATTCCAGTCCGACGACACTATTCATCGCCAAGTCTAGATAGAAAGTCTGGCAGCGATCATTGCTGCTAAAAATGACCGTTCTTCGGAGGCTGTTTTCCGAAAGGTTCGGTCAGCAGGAATTGAAAATAAACGCTCACGACCGATTCTATGCTCTGATATGAAGCGTGGCCGTTCCAGGTTCTACTGCCTCCATGCGCCAGTGGCTTGTCTTGTTGCAATCGGTCCCCCGCGAATGGCCAAACCATTCGGCACACGAACCAGAGTGTCAGCGATGGAGGACTGCAGTGACGCAGCAATGCAAAAGTATGCAATAGCACAGGGAATGATGCTGGTCTTGCTGTTGGTAGTGGTGGTCTGCTCCGCTCCGCTCAGCTCAGTGTGTGTGCATTTTTTCACTTTTACTGCGAGCTCTCACCCCCACGCCATCGCCATAGCCATAGCCACAGCTACTACAGCTACGGCCAGCGTCAGTCGGCGTCTGAATGCGGCAGAAGCTAGGGACTGGCGCGGTCCTGACCCTGACACAGCCAACGTGCGTCCGCGATCAGCTTTTCGATGGCGATTGATGGACGTGGACGGCGTCACTCCTGGGCTGGCCTGGGGGGGCAGCGCTGCCCGGTCATCCCGGTCAGCCCGCGACGATGACCCGGACAAAACCCATGGCGGGACCCATCACATACGTCGTTAAAGTAAAAAGGTGACGAGGGCCTCGGGGTTTTTTTATTAATTTAGTTTTCATATTCCCCTTCTTTTATAAATACTTTATTGAGGAAATTGCGAATATTAAAATAGGAACTGTCTCAAAATGAGTGTGTGAGGTGGTGGTGGTGTTGTTGTTTGTTCATGTGTATGTATGTGTGTGTAGGTATTTGTTTGTGTATAATTGTTTTTTGATTTTTTAATGTAGAGGATGTTAAGTGAAGGAGGGGTCAGTTTTCACATGAGTCCCACGTGGCAGTTGAGATAGATACTGTCATTCCATAGAATTTAATCAGCAGTCTGTAAGAAAAAATCACTCGATGATCAGATCTTCTGTATTGTAAATGCTGATTAGTTTCAAAGCCATAAATGCCAACAACACTAAATGAACTAATTATGAAGTGAAAAATTAACTTACGACCATGCACATATTTGAATATATATATATATATATATATATACATACAATGCAAGGTGTGCTTACGATGATGCACTTTTTCTCCATGACAGATCTCTCTTTTTGTCTTTAAAATAATTTAATTATAAATTGTTATACGATTTCTTTCTCTAACGATGCTTGATGTTGCTCATTGTAATGCATGCAGTATATTTTATATAAATATTTATTTATTTATTTATATGGTTTTAAATTTTAAGTTAATTTATTTTTACCATTATTATTTATCCATGTGATTGAAAGCTTCTCATGATCATTAATACACCCATTTTATTTTTTTTACTTCCAATAATTTCAGTTAACCCTAAAACCTGGTCAGGTTGACAATTAGATGTGTAGCATTGACTCAAAGAAAGCATATGGAAACAATTATATATATATATATATATATATAAGATCACAATATTCCATAATGTAATGCAAAATTATTAGCTAATGAAAGGACTTCATAGAAATGCATGCATCACACAATATGCCCACCTCTCATTTTAAACTTTTTTCTACCTTTTTTTAGAGTTTTTTCTTTCTCCTTTTTTTATTTCCTTCATTGCAACCAAAAGTTTTAGTACTGAATTTGTTGGTAGTATTATAATAGATATGTGCTTTTTCAATTCTTGTTGGGATTTTGAAATATAAAGTTGAAACGGATAATAAGACAAGTGCCGCTTTACGTTTTAAACCCGGTTTGAAATTTACTTATAAACTGATAATTTTAGTAAAACGGGCACAGTCTGGATTAGGGTTTCATTTATTGGCTTCAACACACTGTGCACTGCTAATTTGGATCTATTAACCACTTTCAGGGGAAATTCCTGCACAGTCTCTCACTTGAATCATTTAAATTAGAAGTGATAAAATAAAAGTAAATAAATACATAACAATTTGGTGTAAATTCATCGATAAGAACTAAATTGCTAAAATATGGTGTGAATACAAATGCAAATTAGAAACATATCCAAAACAGAATCCAAAACAGAATCCAAAACAGAATCACTGAACAAAGACAATAAACAAATTATTGCCATGAATACAAATGCAAATTAGAAAGCCAAATCTTGACATGTTTATATTTTGAATGCAAACATTGAATTTCACATTTAAACATGTGAAGATGACATTTATTTATTTTGTAATATTTAATCCTTACTACATTGAAGAAATAAAGATAAAATAAATAAACATCTAAAGAGCAAATGTATTAAATCTTTGACATCTTTGTAAAAAAGAATATAAGAATGCAAGTAATTCAAGTCTGCTTGCAGTTCCTGGTATCAATCCTTGAACAATCATGGAAATTTTATTCACTTATTCATTTGTTTATTAATGTGTTTATTGGATCTAACAGCAAGTTTTTTAAAGTACATTGACTGACTATTACAATTAAAGTGCGGTCATGGATCAGCATTGTTTCAATTAAAATGTTGAGAATCTATTCTTTGTGGGTCATTTTGGCAATTGTTAGTCAAAATAGCTTAAAATAAAATAAAATAAAATGCTTGCAACTAAACTTGTAGTGTTTAAAAATAAAATAATATGGTGTCTTTTTTCTTTTTCTTTTTCTGTAAATTTTGATAATAAAAATAAACATTTATTATATTTATGAATTTTTAGATGCAATTTTCAGTGCTATGATTTTTAATTTGTTGTTTGTTTTTTCTTTTTATTTATTATTATTATTATTATTATTATTTTCTGGCTTCTTTGTGGTTGTAATGGGTCCATTGTTTTTTAACTCTTGGATATTTACTCATATAAATAGTCTAAAAGAATTTATGATATTTTCAAAATATCATTATAATGGTATGAATCAGTACAAAGATAAGAGTTGAAATAGAAAAAATATGGATGAACTTTAAATTAGAAGCTAAACAAGATGATACTTGTGGATAGACAAAGAACAAAAATAATTCATTAATTTTAAAATAGTTTTTAGAAAAACATGTAATTATAAGATCATCGAACCTAAAAAAGTAGCAGCATAACATATTATAAAGTAGGAAGAGAAAAAATAAATAGACCCATGTATATATATATTACCATAAGTGTAAAACTTTAATCTCATATCTTAATTCTAAACATTAAAATATATTAATAGTAATAATAAGTTATACTAAACATTATTACTATTAATAGCAATTTCATACAAATGTTGATATGTTTTTTCAAAACAACTATTTTGTACTCCTCATTAGCCATTCTAATTTAGATTTTTTAATTGAAAAAATCACCAATTGAACAATTTTTTCTTTTATGCTTATATATATATAAGCATATATATGTATATATATATATATATATATATATATATATATATTTCTTCTGAGAATAGATTTTTATATTGATCTTTTTACTGATTTATCTGTTTACATAAAAATCATTTGTCATGCTGCATTGCATTATATCTTTATTGAAAAAAGATGTGTGGTTCAAAATTTAATCCTCAAATCTGTATTTTCAAATTACTTTTTGGAATTTAAAAAATAATAATAAGTGTAATTTTCTAATTCAGGTTTAATAAATTGTAACAGACTACTTTTAATACTAACCTTCACCTTACAAAATCTGTATGAAATCAAATTACAACAAAGCAAGATAATATCGTTAAACAATTGATAGCTTAGAGATACTAATTACAACAAAACATGCATTATATATTTTGGCACTTTTCACTAAATTTATAAACGTTTTTATAGTAACCTAAATTGTACAAAAAAATCGACAATTACAGTGTTTACATAAAGACAGTGCTGTAATTATTTGTGTGATAATGTTTAAAACATAATACATGGCCTGTATACAACCTTACTCAATTTTATTGGACTAATTTAGAATGATAAACAGATAATCTAGAAAAATAAAAAAATAAAAATGGTGAAGTACCATGTGATTTTAAAAGATTACATATGTACAAAAACAACTCAATTATTTTCTAAAAATTAACTAATAAAGAAATGGTTTTCACATAAATATGTATGCAGCAGAAGAAAAAAAATCGTATAAACTAGTATGAGGATACATTATTATCTCAAATCAAATCTTAGAAAAGAAACCATGGTTTTCTTTTTGATTTCAATGTGAATTTATTTTATTATATATTAAAAGAATATGAATCAAATTTGGGAAACCAAAATAAAAGCAAGGAATTCAACTTTGTAATAACTGTAGTTGGAGGGAATATTGTGCAGTTTTATATAAGAACCAATCCAAAAGAAGAAATTTAAATTATTTAAAAATCCTCTTTAAAAGAACAAGAAGAAGGCGTGCTAAAACCTTACAATTGAAATTCCAATGTTTAGATGAAAGAATTTACAAAGTCATTGCTGAATGAATATCTGACTTATAAATAAAAAAAAAGATGATTGAATTTGATTTTTTGAATCCTATCTTCTCAAAAGGTCATCAATAAATGAAAAATACTAAAAAAAAAATAAATTCTAGTAGTTACATTCAATGAACATGTGAAGAAAATAAACTTTTAAGTTTTCAAAAGATTATAAATAATTTTACACAAAATGTGTATTGGAATAATCAATAAAAATAAATCTGTTATTTTTTAATAAATATTTGAAGAGTCCTAGTGCTTGTACGTTAAATATGAAATTTCAAGGTTTGTAACAAAATAATATAACTTAACATAAATAATACTATTTGTTCTTGACTAACAGAAATGCGTGTTTTTATTTTTTTCTTTTTTTCTTTTAATTATTTAAAAGAAAACTTAGCTATGGTATACAAAAGACTAAAAATACAATTTTCTAACTGTTGACTCAATCTCAATTAGGCTCGCAAGTGATGGAACATTCACCATCAAAACCACTACTCTTTTTTCTATTAAAATATTGTCTTAGAATGACATGTATTATTCATTTTTTTACATGATTATTTGTATTTTAAATTAAATTTAAACAAATGCTTTTAGCTTTAATTATATAAGAGTTTTGTAATATATATGTTCATTATTTTGAAATATACAATCTACTAGTTCTTATATCAATTTTTTATTTATATGTTATAATAATCTCTAAATTTATAGATGTATTATGTTATTTTGTGAAATTAACTAAAATTTGTAGCTATCTCTTGCTAAAGAAACTTATCTTTTTTATACTATCTTTTATTGTTTCCTTGACTTTTAAACATGTTTAACATTAAATTTCTTGTAATTTATTCATTATATGAATTAATTATATATAAATCACATTAATAAGTCATTTCTGTTTTGTGTAATATTTTTAAAATCCAATGGTGATTTCAAAACTAAAAACAGTTTTCACTGTAGTTATTGTGTTTCCTTTTCAATTTTTACACATATATATATATATATATATATATATATATATATAACAGAAATGAGTTATACTATATACATAATAAACCATTTTTTAAAAAACGATTTGTAATAATTTATGTTTTTATTCACTTTTTTTTTGCAATATAAGTTGTGGAATCATATAACATTAGACATTATATTGCAAAAAAAAGTGACTAAAAACTCAAAACACTATTTTCCCCTCGAAACAGTAACAATTAAAACTATTATTCACACTTCAAAATTTTAAGAATTGTTTTTAACATAGAATTTCTGAAGTTTAATTTTAATGTGCTCTTCAAAATTGAATTTATATATTTAAAATTTTAAATTAAATTATATTCTGTAACCCTACATCATATATATTGAAATAGAAATTATATTAATTGCACAACATAATACTTAACAAATTGGTCTTGTTTTAGTTATATTACATGTAATACATTAAAATTAAAATTTCATAATTTCTCATGCTAATTTGTTTTTCAACTTTTTGATCCAAATGAGTTATGAATTCTCAACAACCCAATATCATTCCTACATTTGATTGACCTTTAGAATGTAGATATTTTAATAGATATCAGTAAAATCTTTAATAAAAATAAGAAGAAAATTAATCTATTTTTTTAATAATCTATATTTTAAGAAATGACTACTGTGATTAATCCATGTTTTTGAAAATCATTATTTACATTCAAAAGAATTTAACCAACATGTCCAAAAACATATGGTTGATAAAATCTATTATTTTTAACAATACCTGATGCTGTGAATTAACGCTTCAAAGATAGTATAGACATCCTGAGCCAAGATTTTTGCACGAGCTCATACAACATTAGACAAAATACAGATTCATTTATTTTTTTGAAAATCTAAAATTAAACATTAGTATTTGCTGCTTTGTAGCAGTTATGATAACATTTGTTTGGTTGAGCTGTTTAATGATATTGCAACTAAGTTAATAACCACATTACAAGTTCATAACAGAGCCCCTGCAATTCATACAATAACACCAAGGTAATTTCTAATTCTACGGCCACTTAATATCTACAAAAGCAAGTCAAGTAGTTTTCATATTTGTTTTGCTGAACAAACTTAAAACAACATTCATAATTTTTATAATGTTGTGACTTGAAATAATTCTCCAAATTTCTCAATATGATTTAAAATTCCTTCAATAGGAGAAATCACGTAAAACCAAAAAGCATGTATTTTAAGATAGCAAAATGAATCATTTTCGTTTTTAGATTCTTTTTTGTCAACTTGCACAAAAGTTGCACTATGCATGCAAATGTGTCAACAGGTAAAATGACATGATATGCATTATTGGTTGCCATTTCCCTATCCATGTGCAGAGAGAATCATCTTTAGGTACAAAATTACTTCTCACCCATCAAATATTCAAATATTCTCACATAGATGGCAGCACTTGGCTGGCAGTCGAAGACTCACATTCTCTGCTGGCTCAAGGATCGAATGAAGTGTCAAGTCCGAGAGTCGAAAAATTTACAGCAAAAAAGACAAAAAGAAGACAAAGACATTGTTTTGTTTAAAACATGCCCACCAATTACTTGTAAAGAACACAAAATAGAAAACAGCCGTCTTTAATAAAACCAACTAACTAAAAAAACTACAAAAACCATAATTACAAAACAGAACTAGCATTGCTAAACTATGCAGAGATTACAATGACTCATTGTATCTATTGTACTATTTAGACACATGAAGTAGGAGATAGTATCTCAATTCTCAACGCTATCACAGCGCAGCTAGTTTTGCAGAGCTGGCTTCCGAAACCAGCGATAAGAGAGAGAGAGAGAGAGAGAGAGAAGAAAAAAAAAGGTGATCAAAGATCCATACGAAGACTTTTAAGAATGTAGCAATCTGGAAATCCGAAACCATGTCTTGAAAAGATTCATGTGGACGCGTGAGATCAGACCTCAAATCATCGCATAGCGTCCATCTTCCTGGTCCATTGTGAGGAAGAATTTGGGTACAATCAACCAGCTTTTGGTATTATAATCATGGTGTGGAGATGAGCTAGGCTCCAAGGAGCCCGTATCCACCTGAGGAGACCAAGAATGACCACAGAGAGGTTCTCAGATGCATGATGACAAGTGCGGTACCTGATCATATATGTTCATTTCTCACAGCAGGCTGAGGCGTCGTTCTGACACCCGGGTTAGCACCGAACCCATATTAATCACAATTGAATATGGATTGATATTCTCAGAGTCACCATAGATCAAATCTAACTAAGGCAGCAGGAAATAAATTCCGTGAAAATCACAATTAAAACACGCATAAACCATGAAGAGATCTTGACGTAAAAACAGAGAAAGAAATTATCAGAAGTAAAAATATTCACCCTTGTATTGTAAAATCTGACACTCTTGTCGCTCATTTACTTCCAACTCGACCACTCCCACACCAACACCTGCATTCAATCAACACACTTCAAGCCATGAGATGTAAAACAACAGGTACGTTTTCGCTATGAGCTTCAGTATCTGACAACACCGCAAAGTTCATAAAACACACGAGCTCATGAAGCACAACCTGATCATGTAAAACGCCTCCCCAACCATGACTTAGCACAGAACCGGGTGTGCATGTAGCTCTATAGCACTCTGAAATTCATACACACATTCATAACCAGGATGCAAGAGTTCTTGTTGCATCACACACAAACAGCCCGCAATGTCCATGAAACCACCCTGAAAGATGATCTAACCGGGAGGAACTACACACGAGAGATCTTGATGAGGACGGGCATAAGTACAACGCTGTCTACCAATATGTGACCAATGAGATTTATATCAGAATTACAGTGACAATACCCAATGCACGAATGGGTTGAAGTAACAGCATTACCTTCGTTTTCCTAATACCAAACTATCAGCATACGAATCAGCTCCCAACAGTGAAAGTTTGCGTCTCTCATCAAGGCATATCGAGCCAACATGGACAACAGCAGCGTTTGTGCATGATGACGTAGCTGTGCAGGCAACAAAAACTTGTAGACATGGGGCGGCAGCGAGAACTTCATCATCCCCCCGTTAAGGATTCTAATTTCCATGACTTTAAATAAAGGCAGGGGTCATGAAACTCGTATTTTTGCATGGAATGCCAGCATCCATGCAATGACCACGCCCTTGACAATCACCGCTAAAACGCACATGTCCTCACTGCTTCCCACTCACATGCCTGCAGAAATCTCAAATTCTGTCCAGTTCTACTGACTCATCGTGCCACGAAAACATGAGCCACTGACTGCTCCATAGAAAAACTCTGACACCGTGCCTTGACCGCAACACCACTACTACTCCATCTGTGCGAAACAGATGCGCCGTGAATCACAAGGTGGAACCCACAAATTTCAATAGAATGTACACACGACTCGATGACGAAAAATCAAAAGTAGCACGATGTAATCAGATTGGCCGGGAGAAAGCCCAAGCAGTGAAATGCAGCTCCGCCATAGCCAGAGCTGCCATCGCCACCTCCGACCCCACGCTGTGAATTAGGGCTTGCTTCGTATTATTAGTGTTAATTGTTATATTTTATTATTAGTGCTAGTACGTGATTAATTTTCATACTGGATTAGGAGATCACTGAAGTGTCTGTTCCATTCTTGCAAAATGTGGTTCATTGTCATATGGAAGTTTACTCTTTCTGTGAATTCACATTATAGAGTGGATGTATTGCGAAGAGTATGTGTGGTGAAATGTAGAGTTTTAAGGTTGAATTTTTGAAATATAAACAAATAGATGTAGTTTCTAACATAAAAAATTATGTTTTTTCTTTTGTGGTTGATGTTAAACATGGCTAAATTGTTCACAGAAGCTTTAAGTTTTGCACACCTTGTTTTGATATTATATTGTAATCTCTCTCTATATAAATATGCTAGTGAAACCCATGCTGTTGGCCACGGAAAGTATGCAAAAAATCATTTAATTTTGTTCAAGGAACTACTTACAAAGTTTAATGATAAGAAAGCAAAATTTGTGTTAAGGCATTCAAGGATGTACTAAAGTCAAAATTTGAAACTATGGATAAATAAATAAATAAATAAATAAATTATTTTTTTCTACTAATAACAAACTAATGAAAACTTATGAAAAAAAAACATTAAATAAAAATGTCATTTTTTTTGAAATAATCATTGTTTCACATTGTTCTATTTGTACTTTTAAGAAAAGATGGCAGTTTTCATTTAAAATTGATAGTTTAATAAAAAAAAAAAAAAAAAAAAAAGATTGCATATATTCAAGTATACTAAATGTCATAAAGAATAATTTGATGCACAAACACATATATATATATATATATATTCATCTACTATTATTAAGTATATCAAATAATACTCTTTATAAGTTTCAAATAGTAGACATCAAGCTAACATTCAGTGTTTTATTGTGAATATTTTGATTATAAAAATTAGTACTCATAATTTTTTTTTTTAAAATATTATATTTTTAACATGCTTATTTTAATTAAAAAATACTGATCAAAATTAGTTAAATTTATTGAAAACAAAACATAACAACCTTTCCTTGATATATCACAAATTTTGACAATCATCCTACATTAACAATCCAACTGTGAAATCTAAAAAATGTTAAATGTATGCAAATTTAAAGAATAAGAAAAATAAAAATGAAAAACAAAAAACAACATTAAGTATGGATTCTAAAAAAATATTTTAAATATACAAATAAATAAATAAAACAAAAGAAAAAATAAACTAATCTAAAATGACCTCCACTAACCAAACAATAACAAAGTTACATCTAAGATTGCAAAATAATAACAAAAAGACACAAGATAAACAATATAAATTCCAACTGTGAAATCTCAACCATGCTTAGTAAACCCACTTACTTGTGTATAATAGTTAACTATAAACATATGAAAAGATTATAATAGCAATTTATCAAGTCAGTTAAGATGCAAACATGATGAGCTTCACATTAGAGTATCTATTAGTACTTTGTCAAGCTTTGGATTGGCAATAATGCGCTACTCTTTAGTGTTGGACTTAGCATTCTCAAATGAGTCCTTTTTAGCTAGGATGCTACTAATTGTCTCTTAAGACTATGCTTTTAGAAGGTAGAATGTCTCCTTAGTCCAACCACAAAGGGACTTTTGATTTGTTAAAGAATTAACTCAATTTTATTAACAAAGTTGTTATTTTCACATGTTTAGTATTGTTACAGATGAGTGCCTTGAAAAACTTGTACTGCTTGGAAATAAAGTCATAGCAAGTAAACATGCTTAAAATTTGAGTGAACAACTTATAGCTCTATAAATACAACTAAATTTATTAATGTTGCAAGTAAATGAATCACAAGCACAATTATATCAAAAAGCATCTTCAAAAGATTTCTTCTTACAATTATGGACTTGCAATAATATTAGACACACATAATTCAATAACAATGTACTCTAAATACTAAAGTTTAATTAGATAAATATGTTTTTTGATCCAAAAAATAAGAATGCTAATAAGAACGATGTTTGTAAATTTAGTATAAAGTAAATTAAAAGTTAATATAAAATACTTACATTCATTGTTATTATAATTGAAGAAAAAAGAAAAAAGAAAAAATACCTCACACAGAAAATTATTTAAATAAAAAAGATAAAAGTTTTAAAAAAAATTGATTTATACAAAGTATTTTAAATCATAGTATATCTCTTTAAGTTCATATAATTTGTAGCTAAGAATTATATTGAATTGTAGGGGTTATTAAGTTACATATAACCTCCACTATTTAATATGATTCTCAACTACATATTAAATTAATTTATGAAGGTACAATTGTAACTATTATTAAAAAAAATAATGGTTAATATATTTATGTTATTTTAAAAAATACATGATAAATTAATAAACGATAAAATTTTATCATGTATTTACTATTTTTTAATCATGTATTTTGTAAAAATCATATAAGGTATTAAAATATAAAAGATTAAAAAAAATTAAAAAATTAAAAACTAACATAAAAAAATATTTATTTCACTCAACATTTTAAACTATTTTGAAATTACTCAAAAAAAATACCATTAAGTTGATATAAAATCAAATAACATATAATAATATTGACACTAATATTATATATATATATATATATATATGTATCGGTTTAAATATTTTTAATAATATTGAATCTTTTAGTAACTTATGTTTTTAAAAGGATAAATTTATAGTTTAAACAAAAACTATAAATTTTATTTTATATTATATTAAAATATATTAAACAAAAATAAAATTTATATATTTATATAGTTTTTGTTTAATATATTTTAATAGATAATTTTTAATAATTATATATAATTTTTATTTTCAAAAAAAAATTAATAATTAGATTCTATTTCTAAGATATTTTATTAATTATATCAATAATTTTATATTTTATTTTAAACATCAAATTTATTTAGAATCATTTAATAAATGTATGCCTTGCATATTTAAATTCAGATCTATGAAGAGCATAAATAGATTGTGTTTCATTTACAATAAGAACATTCAATTATCTTAAATTATTTTAATACATGTATTTTACTACACTATTTTTAACAATTATTTCATTTTATTTATATATTTGTGAATTTTTTTTATTAAAAGGGATTTTGAAATAATAAAAATTATACCCACTAGTTTCTGTAATGAATGTTACAAATAAATGGTGTTTAGTTAGTAATAGAATGTCTTAAATGATATTTATAGTTAAATATAAGTTAACATTTTTAATTTTATTGCTTTGAATTTGTTTTTTAATTATTTGAGGTCAAGGAAGAATCTTTACAAGGAACTTGTCTCATTATTATTAATTAGTATTGGAATCAATGTTGGCACACTTATCATATATGTTCTTCTATTCCTTGCAAATGTTCTTATCAAAAAAATCACATTTAATTATATTAGTGATTCTTTACCTTGAAGCTGTTATAACACACTTACTATTACCAAGTTTCAAAATCCACCACATAAAAACTTCAACATGTTGACCAGGACACGTTAAAACCGAGGCAACATCAGAAGTGCACTCACCACCACTCAACAGAAAGATCAAAACAAAAATTAAAATTTCAAAAATCAAATTATGTAAAAACTCACTAAAGAAAAGAGCTGAGCATCCGGCAACAGGGTCCGAGCACAAGGCGATGCGGAGACGGGGCCGCGAAGTTTCAACGTTGGGGAGGGGGACTGTTATTATTGTTGTTGGATAGAAGCTGTTGGAATCCACTTTGAAAAATAAAAAATAAAATGCTGATGTTGGGTTGTGTGGAGCTGCTTTCGTCTTCCTCTTCTTCTTCTTCCACTGTGCTCTCAATGAATATCTCATCGTAATAGTAACAGTGTGAGAGTGTGCAGGGCATGCAATACAAGGCTTTGGTTGAAAGCATTCACAGACACGAGAAGGATATAACTGCCACACGAAAGCTCGCTGGGGGAGTGTGGCTCTTCCTTGGAGGAGAAGACAAAGTACCCAAGACGGGAAACAAACAAAAACAAATATAACAATAAACAATGAACAGGAAAGGAGAGGAGGATGGGGGAGAGAGAGGTGGAAGCTCTTGAGGGCATCGTTGGGAGACTGCACCACCAACCAATGACGAAACGTGAAAGCTTATCTTGAAAGGTTGCAGGGCATGGACCGGGTCCAAGGTTGTTGGTGGTGGTGGTGATGCAGCACAAGATAAGTATGCAGCGTAACCTAATAATAATAATAACAACAACAACAACAACAACAATAAGACTATCCTGGCATGCGGCTGAAGCTTCCTGTCGCTGAATCTGACAAGCCCTTTCCTTTCCTCGGGGAAGACGTGCAGTGCCAGTGGCGCCGTCTTCTGGGCTCCACCCTCAGCCGAGATTCCGTTTCAAGGGTGCAGAATTGAGCAGGCTGTCTTACGACGCGATGTTTATGACTATTAATATTATTTTTATGGTGGGGGCAGGGCTGGTGCAGGTACTGCGCCATGGTGTCGACGTTGTACACCTTTTCTTCCTTGCTTCGCACTTCACACTGCCTATCAGTCATCTTCATGCATTGATTACTTCATACGTTTTTTTTCGTTGGTAAACCGTTATTTGCAGACTGCCACTACCGTTCATGGAAAAGCTTGAGATTGGCAGAAGTTTGCAGATGGTGAATACTTCTAAATATGCAGTCGGAAGAAATGTACTACCATATAACTCAGTTTAAAGAAGAAATGTAGATTGGAAGATGTCCCTAGCAGTCATCTGTACTAAATCCGATAGAATATAAGTATAATAAAAAAGTAATACAGACTCTACAGAGCTAAAACATGACGTGTATAGCAATGAAGTAAGAGAGGAAATACATGTCTAATTCACGGTTGTCCCATTCAAAGAGATAGAAATGTATAGGTAACAGGGGATTTCATTATCAGGAAAAGGTTACATGCTGCAGTCATGTCAAGATTGTTCACATTTGACAACCTCGAACAATTCCAGATAATCAAACTGATGTACCTGAAACCTAAGTAACAAACACAAAAGAAACACATGGAAGGAACATCACCGGTTATTTTTCTGTACACCGGGATGTTCCTATTTGATATTCGCAAAACCCAACTAGCTAAAAAAGCAACTTTTCATTCCGGAGCAAGCTGTACAGCAAGCTCTACGAATGAAAGCATGAACACAACACTAAACTAACACACGCAATGTCTCAAAAAATCAATCAACTACGTCGTTCTCACCAATCAATCATCGCAGACGAATCATCTAATTGAGGCTCATCATTATGGAAACGCTCGGCTCCAGCGCCGACACCAGGAATGATCCATTCCAGCTTTCAATGTTCAGAAACGTACTGTCGCACACATCGGCTAGCACCAGGGCAGAGAGTAACCTTGTGGGAATTTGAGCACCTGACAGCCCGATATGAGCTAAAAACATGCCAGGCGGAGCCTGATGAAGAATCTCTTTAATTGAGTGAGGCATGCAAAAGGGGTTCTTCATTTGAGTCGAACATCTGACAGCCCCATCAGAGCCTAAAACATGTCGATGTACCGACTTCGGTGTAGAGACTCATCTGTCGGGCAGCATGCACGGAGACGATTTCGCAATCCTGGCAGCCCCATGGGAGCCTAAAACATGCCAGGTAATGGTCGATGCAGATAATCCTCCGTCCAGCAGCACCTTGACAAGAATCTCATGAAGACACAGCAGCTACAAGGTAGCCTAAAACTTGCCAGTCTTTCAGATTTCGAACCTCCTCCAGCCTCAAGTATCAACTCACTTCCCCATGCAACTCCAACAAATTCGATGTAGAAACTCCTCCGCCACACGTCTGCCGTCGTCACCTCCTCGAAACTGTTCTAAAATGGAGACCAGCTCCGCCAGATGGACTGTGCGGAGTTTATCAAAAGAATGAGCAGGGCGCTTTAGCAGGCCACCAGTATGCACCAGCTAAGGAACCACTATGTCACTTTGAAGACCTTGACTTCGAAACCCACTTGCTCTACTTCAAAAAAAGAGAGAATCGATGTGGGAGGACTCTATCGTCAACCAAATATTCGTGACTTCAGTAAGAGACCTTCAGAACTGTCAACTAAATCCTACAATGGGTGATTTGACTGGTTAAAAAAAAATGAGTCAAGATCACTTTTCAAGGGTCAGGTCTCAAAGTTCCAGCATGGACCAAAGTGGCAACAAAACTGTCGGCCAAGGTGCGCGTTTCTCATTCGCAACGTCTCCAAACGTTGAACTTACGGGGGGGACTCATAGTAACTGATGTTGGTGTAACAGAAAGTTTCTTGGTCGCAGCTGGGCTGGTAGAACCAGCAAATCTCAAAAAGTCTTCGCTTCCTTGTGAATCAGTCAAATCGAATTGACTGTCTTTCACCCCAAAACCGAAGACATCCCAACTACAGTCGAGCTGCTCCTCCGCATTGGGGTCACTGCTCAAAAGAAGATCTGCAAGGTTATACAAGTCATCCGATGATTCGCCAGTCGCGTCTGGGCTAGGAGAGCTCACATACCTCAACTCACTCGCCGATGAGGACTCCGGCGGACTCTGGCAAGGGCTGGTCGATGTGCTAGAACCACTGTCTCTAAAATTTGAGTAGTCCAAACCACCCGCACCAGGTACAGGACAGAGGTCCACTACTTCCGAACTTAGAGCTGCTAGATGAGTGGGATCACGCAAACCGGTTATATCTCCAGGCTTAACGGGAGGGTGAACTTTACTTTGTTCGCCCCCAACCGTGTTTGCCGAAAGCGCTTTCCGGTAAGCGATCTCGTTCAGCTTCGCAGTCAGAGTGGAAGTGGGACCTCTCCTGGACAGTGCGGATGGCACACCGACCTCGTCAACTGGTGACTGTCCCCCGCCAGGAATCCCAGAGTTACATTGCTGCCGAGGAAAGTTGAGGCGAGCGTACTCGCCTCGTAGCTTATACGCCGCTGCACACGAGACCAACGATTAAGTGAGTCGATGTGAGAACATACAGGATTGTGTTGAATCCGCAAGAGAAAAACCGCGTCGACAGACAGGAGACTGACCTGCGTCATAGGCCATAGCTGCCTCCTCTGCGGTCTCGAATGTTCCCAACCAAAGACGTGTCCGGTTCCGTGGAAGCCGAATTTCGGCAACCCATTTCCCCCAATGCCTCTGTCGAACACCTCGATATAACTTGGTCCTGGGCACACCGATTCTCTTCTCCGCAGTTTTTTTCATTACTTGTGCCCGCGGACCTAGGTCGGTAGTGGAACTCCATGTAGCCCGAGGAAGACCCTGGACGTCAATCTCTTGTCGACAGGGAGGAAAGGCTTGGAGATGATACATCTGCTGAGGCATGAACTGCGCCGCCTGAAAGTAGTTGGTGAACTGTTGCTGTAGAAGTGCCTCGGCGTTACCCAAGTCATGCACATTCTGAACCCCAAGTGGCTGATCTACCATGAATGTGCTGAGGCCATCCGACCCCACGTAAGATGATGGCAACTGAGGAGGTGGAGGAACGACACAGTGAAACTCTGTCATGACAGGCGAAGGCTCATACACTGCAGTCGAGCCATCCATCATCAATGGAGAAGTGCAAGGAGGAACTACTAACTTGTCACGACACAATACACCCTCATCTTTAATAGTCTGGGTTGAGGGCCTATAATTACAACCATCCAGTAAGGACTTAAAATCCGAGGTACTCTGAGCTAATCTATCTAACCCAGCAACCTCGCGAATATTGCAATCACCGATCCCACCTCCGTCGTGGACACCATTACCGTAATATGAGCTTCGGAACGAGATGTCGTATCCAGGCAACATATTGCTCATATTATTGCGTGCAACAGCTGCCATCTCCCTCGAGCAAGTTCAGCTCTCAGGCGTGATGATGTGTACAGTTCTGACTTCCTCCAATCGTATGTAAACGTCACCTCTTCAGCAACAAGCTCTACACTTCTGTGAGGCGGTGATAGTGTTCGAAGACACTTTTCGTCGAAAGAGACTCTCACAGAAGGATCGCAGAAGCACCGGTAGGTTGTCGATGCCAACAGTATACTGATGTGATGTACTGAAGGGAAGCGCTAAGTATAACAGCACCTCCTACAAATTGCGAAGCACCGGCTAAGTCAGATGGTGATCACTTGCAATAACACTATACGAATCGCTCCGTGACAACATAACGAAGGGTCAGAGAATAAATAGAAAAGCGCAAAGAACGGATCGCACATGATCAATAGCCGCGGGAAAAAAAGGCACCGAGCAACTCAAGAAAGTGGAACGTCAACAAACCACTTGAAAAATTCCGATCAGCTTAACAGAAAGTAATTGAAGATTTTTCAATCGCTATCTAAGCCACTGCGAAAATGAAATCTACAAAAAAAATCCAAGTAAACAGACTATTCACAGTAGACAGCAGTCACTCTTAAAGATGAAACCGTGGGGCAGTCACTTACTGTAAGATTCGAAGACGTGAGAGTCCAGCGGGGCCTCTAGCCTAAAATTGAAGGCGTTTCGGCAAGATTGCGCCAAGTTCAAAGAACCTGAACCACAACCCGCACTGCTTCAGTCGCCGAAAAGAACCTCCAAGTAAATACACAACGAAACAGTGATATGAAGAAGTGAAAATCTACAACACTTCCTCACAACTCGGACCTACTGTTCCGCGAGCAAATACCGGTGCCTCCACATCAAACACTATGACATAATGTTTCAGTGACTTGGAATGGGTATGCTCGCAAAACGTGCCTAATATGGAGGCGAGCAATGAAAGTGTTTCAGTGCAAGCCAATGACCTCCTTCTGAAAGTAACTCGCAACCAGGGACAACAACTAGAAAAGAGAAATACGCAGCACTACGTCTGTCAAACTAAAAGTACTAAACCTACGTCCACACCAAAGTGCCTATCCTGCGATGCGATCTGCAGTGAACCCCCGGTGCCTAGCCTGCATGTGAGTGCGCAAGTGATCGGTGGAAAACGCCAGTCCCCGGATCTCCCTCAACCAACAACCGACAGCCTCAATACGAGCAAGTCAGCAGCACTCGGAAGCGAATGCCGGAAAACAAGCGAGAAACGAGACCGACGAGAGACAATACAGTTGAGAGAGCGTGATCCGAGCTTGCGTGCGATTTCCACCTCCTACGAGCCCGTGCCTAAGGTGAGACGGTGAGCGCGCCAGTGAGTGAGTGAGTGAGTGAGTGCGTGAGTGCCTGTGTGTGTGTGTGTGCGTGCGATGAGTGCGAAGGCGCTGAAGAACGAAGACGATAACTCTAACAATGTTGCAAGGATTACTTCGACGTCGCGCACAAGTCTTTATACTTCCGACCTCGTCAAGGTGCTCCCCTCGTGCCTCCCTCCTTCCTCTGGCCTCACCCGCCCGCGTGCCATGAGCTTCTCACTAATCACGCGGCATCCGTCCTAAACCGGGCAGGTAACGAAATTACTTATTCCTCTGGTCGTTTGCGCTTCCGGGCAGACGGAGCCCTGGTTGGGGCGCCGGGAACCGTGCGGGGAACAGCACGACCTGGCGCTGCATCGCGCTCGGAACCAAGCAATCCATCAATCTGCCAGTGTATTTATTCATCAAAGTTCTGGGTTCTGATTACAAGTTTTACAGTTGTAATTCTTCTTCTTCTTTTCTTTTTATTTGTAAGGTCAATCCATTTTCAATAACTTAAACATTTCAGCATATCTGCCGTAGGTGTATGAGAAATAAAAAATATACATCTCAGTGTAGAGAATAGAAATCAAGAGGATTTCATGTGTTTTCACACAATTTTGCCCAAAAACGAAGTTTTTATTAATGTTTTAGCTGAAGATTCTCTTCAACCCAAATCAAACATAAAGGCCAACCTAATTCTGGCTGGTGGCTGATTACAAAATTGAGATGCTTGATTTCGTGATAAATGCTTTGAATGGGCATGAAATTCTTAATTTTTTATCCAATGATGCCATGGACTATAATCTCTTACCTGTTGGCACCATGAAGTTGAGATAAAAATGTGAATCAAGTTATGTGAAACCATAAAATATCACAACTAATTAGTATTATCATGTCAAGTTGATTGGAAATACACCACCCTATAGGTTGGAAATTGGGAGAGGGGGTGTTGAGAATGGATTTGCTACCTTAATTGATGAAGATCTAAAACTAGATGTTGACAAGGTTTGACAAACTTGATAATTGATAATCCAAGCTGACAGAAAAAATATTTAGTTTTCATAAAGTGGATAATCTTAGTAGAACTTTACATCACTTGAAATGTATTTTGTATTTTGTATTTTGTAAGAATGTATCAATTGCATATTTTACAAATAATTTTCTATGGTTTGAATTACAAGTGGATAAATTATTTAGTTTAATTTTACCTATTCTTTAATATTATTATATTTATTAATGTGTAAATAAATTTAATTTATCTAACTTTGCAATGGTCATTTTAATGTGTACATGTATGAATTTTGTTGTTTTGAAGGTAATAAATGACCAATAATGTATGTATGTATGTGTAGAATATGTCTATACACAATATTTAACGATCAAGTAGCAGTGATTTTGATTTCATATTCTTATATTATAATCAACGTACAAAATTTGTGATTCACTTACATCATTTTACCAGCTAATATAAAAAATACACATATATCATATACTTGTTAACTTGGATCTTATATAACTCACAACTTCTTCACAATACACAAAATAAAATCTTCCAGTGACTACATTGTAAGTATTATGACTGATACAATATTTTTCAGTAATATAAAATTCATGTTAATGTAATTTTAACCCATAAAAATTTGTGATCAATCATTCTCTTTTTCTAAAAAACACAACTGCATATAGGACATCTATTAATATTTCACGTGAAATAATGAGAGCTGTGATTTTAGTTTTAGTTAGTGTATATATATATATGTATGTCTTCATTCATCCATTCTATCATTTTCGAAATTATGTAAATAATATAATAACAATAAATTATGCTAGTAATTTAATTGCTACATACCATGTGCTTGTAAAATTTATATTTTACAAAAAATAAAAGTAAAAACCATGAAAAAAAATATCAATACTAAAATTATTTTTGATGACCATATCATTAGCAAATTTCATTCATTGTTATCTTAGAAAACATGAAATCTCTACTAAATCCTACACCACGTTAGAGGAACTGAATACATATATATATATATATGTATATGGAGATAGAACTGTTTCATAAATGAGTAAACATAAAATATAGAAATAAAAACCAAATGGATTGTAATGGTAGTCACAAAAGTATTGTACAAATTAATCTAAAATTTGATATAATTACATGACATTCATGACTGTTTGTAGATTTTAATTTACCTTGAAATACCTCGTGGCAAATAGAAGGCATAGTTTTGAGTACAAAATGACATTTACATTTTGCAATTGAAAGGCAATTTAGTTAAACAGACTGAGTCATGAATCAAAAAGTTCTGCACGTTTTTTTTATTTAATTGACTAAGATAACCAGAAACATAAGTAATAACAGCATCACGGCAACCACAAATAACTACTGTTCGTGAATTAAGTAAAGGCAACTGAAACATATGAAATAATGTGAGTAAAATTAAAATTAAAAAGTCACATATTGGAGGAATAAAAGAGAGCAATAGCAGAAACATAATACTATTTTTTTATTTTCTATTTTTAAATATAACAAAAAATGGTTGTTAAATTTAGCATTGCATGTTGTAAGTTATATGTATACTTTCAAGAAAAATATGTGTAAATGCATACATTCTTTGCAACAGTACTAAGGCATCATTTATTTCACTATTAGTTGCACATCACTAAACGTGAAGATATGAAAAATGAAATTATTTTTCTTGAATAATACACATTTTAAACCGATTTCATTAATTTACACTTAGCTACACGTATGATTTTTACCGTCGGTTCAAATTTACCAGTGATATTTTAAGTTCAATAATTTAATTTCTAATAAGTATTTGCTTACACATTATTTTACCTCTACATAAAAAAATTAGATTTTTTTTTTACATAATTGATAAAAGCATAGAAAATAAAATAAAATAAAAGTAGAAATTGATTTGCAACTAAGCACTGTATTAATGACCGTTTCTTCATTATCCAGATGGAACAAACTAAGGCCACAAATATTGAACCATGAGCCCAAGAATGCGTCATTAATTAAAATATTCATGGATGAATGAAAAACGTCGTTGATGTAAAATACATATGAATGATTATGCGATAATTATAGACAGAAACCAGGCGACGACAGTCATGGGGATTCATGGTGACCTTCAGGAAGGTGCTTTGCTGTAGCCACGTGTCTAACTCAACGTGTTTCTCGGCATGATTTTCTATACCGCGTGGCATGTGGATGAGGGGGACGATGAACGGAAATATAACCATGGTCCTGTCGACGAAGTTACCAAAATTCATCCAAAAGTGCGAGCTTGGGGTCAGACAAAAACCACATATCCCACTATTTTAGAGGTCCTGTTTAAACCACAAACTTTTCATGACTTTCTCAATTGCGGCATCCTTTTCATTATGTCATGGTTAAAAGTAAACCACCGCTTTGTAATAAATAGTTAAGTAATGTGAATCGGTGGTTCTTTATTATATTTTCATAATTCTACAAATGTAGAAAGAAAAAAAAAATCTTGTGTTGAAATCATTGAACTGAAAGAAAGAAAGAACAGTACAGAATAATAATAGTTTGAAACTCCTATCACAATGGTCTGCGTCAAATCAAGAAGGCAAAGAATTGGAGAAATATTCAAAGTTTGAAGAACCACACGATACAAATGTCGTGCACTTACATGTTTGTTTATATATATATATATATATATATACATGGATATACACAAAGCTCATCAAAGACATTTCTTGCAGAGTTACGTAACAACATTTTTTTTTTGTATTTTTACTCTTGTGCAAATTGTTCAACCATAAATGTATGGATAATATCTAAAACTCTCATATTTCAAACTGATTAATTTGTTGACATGGTTACTGTTGCACAGGATATTTAGAACACTTAGTCAATTCTAGATTAGAACACCACATCATCATCCTCGACATTTTTTTTCCTGGTTAGATCTCAACAACAATAAGTAATAGCTGCTGGATAAGAGAAGAAACATAATAGACCAGAGTTAACAACGCAATCAAAATATTTATATTATTAAGAATTGCAACAGAAATCAACCATAAGATTTGCTTAAAATCGAAGAGAATTTACGCGTGACGTTGATGTATCACTGAAAGTTGTGATATCCCCTGAGGAAATAAACAGAGTCAATACCACAAAGCTTTTTTGATGTTGTCATCGTAAGTCCAGCATAAATTGAGAGTACAGACAAAACGATGTGGAGCACATTGTTCACATTCTTTCCTTAATTTGCCAAGCGAACACATCGTTTTCGGATGATTAGATCACTTTTTAGGTCGAAGATTTTAGAGGATTATTCCGAGGGTGATCACGACTCATCAATTTGGTGTGAAACTCGATCTCCTTTCCAATACTTTCAAAAAGCCCTGACCTCGGAAGAAGCTCCGAAAATCAGCTTCGCACGGATCGGGACATGAAGCGTGACAAGATTTGTGTTTTCCGTTCTTTTTTTGTTGTTGTTCCCGTGTTGGATTG